TCCTGGCTACACAGTTAACACCCTAATAGCAGAATCTAGGTTTGATTCATCCTGTCACTATGGTAACCACTTACACATTTAATACTTATTGAATAAAGGTACAAAGGGGATAGACCTAAGCTTCTTCTTGGCCCTAAAATTCTTACTACCCCTCCTATAAAGGCAGGAGCCTCCTCTGTAGGACAGAGTGTAAATGTATCTCCTGAGAAGGATTCTCCAACAGGGACTGTCTTTACAGCGTGCTTTTAGATAAGATGTTTTTATGGGACATTTCAATAAAAGGATCAAGGACCTAAGCTTTCCAGCATGGTGGGAGTTGTGATGGGCATGGGAGGATGCTCACTTGGGAGGATGAGATGTTAAAGACACTAATAGTGAAAAGGACAGGGCAAGACAAAGGGCGACTGGGAAACAGAACCCACAGAGATGTGACATCTACTTCCCACTGTCATCTAAGTGATACCTACTTGAAAGAAACTTTTCTACAGTTAAATTCTATAATGGGGGAATATTTAAATGAAGCACACATATACTCAATGAGTAGATTACATAATTTTTAGAGATTCAGAGTGCATTAGAGTTTTCAGAGTAATTTTTACATCAATAACTAGTAGTTATAAATTCCTGTTTGCTAAATAAGCATGTGGAATTACTTCCATTTTGCTTTTAGACTTACTACAGCTTAACCTATTCACTGCACTGATACAGAATAATCTTTCTAATGAATAAATATGATAATGTACAACCTTGTTAAAGATTCTTTAATTTCTCCATCACCAGATTTATGAACATTTAGGCCTATGTGTCAGGCCCCATTTCTTACCAGTTTTTTCACCAACACCTTACATTTAGGTCATATTGCATTACCCAGAGGTCAGGAAATATGTTCTTTCACACATCCACATCTTTATTAGGTCCTGTGTCCTCTGAGGAAAAACCTTCTCCCGACTGTCACATCCTTCCATTTTACAGCCTAACCACTAATCCTTCTGTAAACACCTTCTAATGCTTCCCAAGCTCACCAGCTACCCCAGGGTCTTAGCTTCTCTCTTCCATAATTGTCCTCCACTGTATGTAGTATCCACTATTCAAGTGAAGTCTGAGTCCTCATTTACAGGTCTGTGGCCTCTCTAGATGACAAAGTATTTGGATTCAGTAACCTTGTCCTTTTATCACTGTTGCTGCTAGACTTCATTTCATAGGACCTGATACATAGTAACCACACAATAAATACTTGCTGAATGAATGAATGAATGAATGAATGAATGAATAGCCAAGGCAATCTTCACAGCCAAGGCTTCCCCATCCCAGCTCAGTATTCTTTGTTATATCAAAGAGACTCTGCCCCATTAAACAATAGACCCTGCACATTATAACAAATGTATATAATTACTAGGAACTATTATTCGAACAGACACTAGCACTACTGTTCTCATAGTTATGTCACATAAGTAGTGTATTAAAGCTCGTTCTGATTTGTTATTTATACAAATCAGCTATGTCTGTCACCAGTTTAAATATCAGTGATTTAGAAAACAAAAGTTATTGATTTATCTACTCATCAGAAAACATTATGACAGATCTATTTACATACCTCTTTTGTCAGTTTATATACCAACTGGAAAAGAAGTGGTGTACAGTCCACTCTGAGAGTATAATTGCCTGCAAATTAAATAAGAGAGTATTTTAATACCTCCAAATGGACTTCAAACCTATATTTAATTCTAACTTTATTTTCTAATTATAAACATGATATAACAGACTTCAAAATGAAGGCATCATTCCTGGAGAATAAAAAATAGGGTGGACCCTAGAGAGTAATCATATTAAATGAAGTATG